CCGGCTGCCCCGCACCCAACGCGCAGGTTAAAACCTGCGCGTGTTCGAGGAACCTCCTCAGGTAATTTAAACTTATAACGGGCTGCGCAGCAAACAGTCAGCCCTCCGACTGGGTTATGACCTCACTGTGCGGCTCTCGGTCCACACATCTGTAACAATAGTGCGAATTCGAGTATTTTTTTTTAACCGGCCGGGGCGGGAAACACACCAAGTGAGATCGTTTGAGCATGTTAAACGTGTTTTATGCAAATGTGACACGGTATGTAATCTGTATTCCAAGCTCATTGAAGAACAGTTGTAACAGTTCTTTTACTTTTCAAATCTTAGCCTCGGAATTCAGATTCCAGATGCGTTATTTGCAAGCAGTAAGAATTTTTCTTCAAAAAAAAATTTAGATTCTAGAACAGGAATAAAGCTACTAACTGCTCCCACTTTGCTTTGCATCTCTGTTCACCGCCCAGAAAACATTCCTGACCCTTTAGTTGTGCACAACCTGTGGGTTGGTGTCAGTGCTTTCCAGAAGGAAGGAGACAGTACATGAGAGTGACAGTAACTAACACGGAGTACAAGTAGGTTATACGCTTATGTCTATTGATCCGCTCCTCCAGTAAAGCTAGATTGAAAACATATCACCACTTCTGGGATGTGGCCTTCCTCGTAAGAAACTTCTTCCTCTAATTCACAGGGACTCAAAGCGAAACATTATGTGAGCAGCGCATAGCTTTGTGTAGGTGTGTTGCACAAGTGAAAAAAGGGGAGTTAGACTAACTGACCCTCTGAGAGCTGATGCACAAAAGTAAAGGAAAGCATTTAAAGGAAAGGATTTAAGGAAAATAGACTTAAAATTTAGGTATGACTTTTCAGAGCCTAGTGCACCTGAAGGTTATGTGCCACTCAACTAGTATTTCAGGGTATTTTGCTTGCTTTTAAAATTCAGTGTATTTGGAAAGTCTTCGTGGAATCAGTGTGTCTGTGTGAGTGTGCACATGTCTTCGGTTGTTGTAAATATGTGGAGCTTCAAAACATTATAATCCTATAATCACTCAAAATTCAGAGACCCTTGTCCATGTTGATGAGCTCTCCCCACATCCTTTGTGAACCATGCTGCAAGATGAAGAGGGTTTTTCTTCCAAAATAAAAAGCAGATTTTCTTCCTCTTTTGGCACAACATTTCTACCAATAAATGATCAAAACAAATTTTCAATAACAATTTGGATAATATTGTGAAGACTAAAATAATTTTCATTACTCCCTGACAAGTCAGGGCAAATTATTTTAATAGATTATGTTATTGACTAAATTCATTAAGTTAGTAAATATGGTAAATTATTTTAATAATTTTTTTTAAGTGTTATGTGAAAATGATTGTGAAAAATCGAAACTGCTTCTTAGTGTATATTACCCTTCCTCTGGCATTCCTACCACAGTCACACTAACGTAACATCTTTCTAAGGTAATTTTTGTATGAAATAAGATACAACAGTGAACCCCAAACCTGCAAGTACACACTTCCCTAATTGATTATAGGGCATCAATTTAAGCATATATTTTAATCATGTGGTTTGAGCTAGTGAGGTCATTATTTACAGTAGCAACAACATACCATTTAAGAAGTGAAATGTACTATTTAAGTGTTTTGCACTCTGCCACCGCTTTCCACAGAAGTATTTTGTATTTATTCTGTTATGGCCTTCAATGGAATTCAAAATATCAGTGATATATTGTACTATGTTTGAAACTTGATCTTTTTTCACTTGGTGTGTCCTCTTAATTACAGATGTAAAAATGAAAACAGCTGTATGGATGTTCTCCTCTGGTGATCATCCCCAATACATGTGCCCGTCTCACTGTGTGTTATTCTTCTCTGCAAGTTTCTCAAAGCCGTTCTTAATTTATTTTGATTGTTAATTGGGATATGTGAGTTAAGAAATATTTAATTTGCTCAGGCAGCACACATGGTTAGTCTTCCATAAATTCCTCTTACCTGTCAGTTGTAAAGTCTTTATTTTGTCTGCCTTCTCAGTCTTGTACATGGTTCTATTGGGATATAAATCATTTCATGAACGTGATAAAACTGAAAAACAGCTGCACGTTGAATTTGAGCTGCACATTTGCAAATGTGAAGTTTTAATTTCATGATGAGGATGAAAGGAGGTTAGTGAGGAAATACAGAAGAATAAAGCAGTCTAGTCACTGCAGCAACAGAAAGGTTAAATCCCAAGTTTATTCAAGGAAACTAAACTACTTATTTTGTGAAGTATAATGCTAACACTGGAACAAGCTGAATATGAAGGTAGCCATTACATGCAATATAAATATTCATGCGACAGAAACAATTTGAAAATATAATTGAGTATATTACAGTAATAACTAATATTCTATAAAATCTGTGAAAAGCATGTACTTACACTTGCTGATATGTTTCTTGCTGGAAGATAATCACTTTAATATCAAGATTACCTTATTATATGTATGCGAAAAGTCATTTCAGGTCAATATAGCAACTTCATGTTTATTTTCATTATAACACTGGGATGTTTGTCTTCATATGATAATGAAAACACTGCAGCAACAGTTTCACAACTATACATTGCAAAACTCCAGCTTTTCTTTTAGTTGGAGTTTGTAATTTGACAAGGAGAAAGCTAACAGAAACAAATTAAAATATTGTGAACCCAAATATGTGCTCACACAATTGAATTAGGTTTTCAGTTAGGTATACAAATGATCCAGATATAGAGATTACTTAACTGTTCAATGTTGCATAGTCTTGCAAAATACTGACTGCTTCTGCAAATACTTAGCTCTCTCTACCATCATTGACAGCAATTTCTCTAGAAATAGTCTGTCTTCTCTCTTGGCCAGAGCTAATTAACTTATTTTTAAAGAACATTGTGTTCTCTCTCTCTCTCTCTCTCTCTCTCTCTCTCTCTCACACACACACACACACACACACACGTATATTTAAATGTTTACTTCATACAGTGCCAATTTACTTACATTTTTACTAGCTTAAAGTCTGTGGATTTTTGTAGCTTTGGCCTGTGGGTCTGGGCCTCCTACAGTAGTAGGTTGCCATGTAGCCCTAATTAATGAGTGGTATTGTATAATGTTTACAGTTTAACTAGTGATCATGATAGTTAATAATATGAGGGCAGACTTTCAAAGATATTAAAGATGCAACTGGGCCCATAAAAAGATTTTACAAAAGTAGGTTAGATGCCTGGCTCCCATGGGTTTCAATGGGTCTGTTACAATTACCCCATTTAGATACGTTTACCTAGCAGGCACCTGCCTACATCTTTAAACCTACAAATATATTTGGAGTGCTGAATCTTAGACTATATACAGTTAAAGTATAATTAAAGTGTGATATAGCTTCGTATTTTTAGGATGAGAGTTTTATGTGGTTTCATGGCTTCTAGAGCTTCACAATGAGAATGTCACTGAAACGAATTTTAGAAAAGCTAGAAGAGTGTTTTACATCAACCATTCAACAGTGATTCAGTGAAAGTGTGTCATTATTGTAAGAATTGGGCTATTAATTAAATGGTTCATTAATACTTAAATACTTATGGAATAATTAGACCTGAGATTAAATTACAATAAATGATTATCAAACAATTTTACCAAATCAGCATTGCTGTATTTACTATATTGTCTGTATATTTTATTTATACTAACTAAATGATATAATTAAATTGTGATGAGTGGTACAACTTTTACAGTAAAGGAAACATATTAGCTATGAGTGCTGATATATGGGAGTTCTTTTGTGTGGTAAATACTTTGTCAGTTATTTACAATCCATTTAGAGCTTATTCTTGTGAAAATTTATGCTGATGAGTAATTTTACCTGCTGAGACTTGCACAGACTAGACATGAGTTAAGTTTTTCCCTTATATAAAGGTTTGCAAAGTCAAGTCCTTATGCATTACGTTTCATTTTGTATGTAATAGTATTGATTTGTAGCTCAAAATTATTTATACTTTTCAACACATTGTAATTCTCAATTCCAAATTATTCTTTTCGGGTTGTTAATAAAAGGAATTTGGACTATTAAATAATTATAGGTAGTGTATTATTAAACACTTTCCTTGTAAGTCCACAGGAAGTGAAATCTTTTTCCGGAAATGATTATCAAATGGAGGACTACATATTTCCAATTTCACCTTTAGAACTACATCATCCAAAAAGGAATGGAGAGCATGTATAAAAGTATGACTCCAAATATACTTGTGTTTTAGAGAGATATTTATTCCGGACTCAGTCTGTTTTCCATTGTTTCCATTAATTTTACTGATGCTGTTGTATTTTTCCAGTGTAAGATAGATATGAGACAATAAACAGATATAGATCTTTATAAGGGACCTCAGAGAAGCTTTCCAACGCTTGGCTAAAATATATTTTAGGTGGGCATTATGTTTACAGGGTTGAGAGATTTTTGTAGCTTAGTTTTTATTACTGATATGAATTAGCACAATTCAGTATACTCTATTTCCTTCTGCTTCTCTTGCCTGTATAAATGAAAGCTTTGACAAAATTTTCTGCTTCTACTCCTTTTTCCATATACCCTTTATCTTCAGATCTGATTTTCATTCCTCCGAAATAACTCCTGTATGTGCTCGTGCTACAATAGTTGCAGTAACTAATCGTACTTCATTCTGAGTACTGCTGTTTTTTCCCTATGACTTTCCAAGTCTCATCTCTCCAGCTTCTCACACATCTCCTCTCATTTCATATAGATATAAAGAAACATAACTTTATCATTAGAAGGATATGTGGATCATCACCTGTTTAGAAAGCAAAATAAAATTTGTCCATGCTCCTTGAAGAATTTCTGTAGCATCTTGACACAATCCTCTTTCTTCCTGTGGAGGTATTCCTGCTCTGATAGTCTAACTGCTTCCAGCTTCTCCACCCTGTCATATAATAGAGAACTTTTAGCTAGAAGAGCCTTCCTGAATTTCTCTTGCAGATAGTTTAGCTGTTATATGTTTCCTCCTTGCTTAGTCATTTACACTTTTTACAGCTTTCAGAGTCCATAGAATCATAGAATAGTTTAGGCTGTAAAGGACTTCTGGTGGCCATTGATAAGCTCTACTTACAGGCCAAGCAAAACATTTTGAAAATAACTATGCACCTGTTCATCTTGAGATAAATATGTTATTGGCACAGAATAGCTCTCACTCCTAGGCTAAAAAATCATATTTGAGTTTGTTTTATACTTGCTTATGTGATGCATATCTTTGTCAGTAATAACTGTTATTATCTGAAGTGTGACAAATTACTGGGTTCAAAAGTGAGATATATATTTTATTTCTACACAACAACCTTTTGGTTTGTTCTCTATCTCTTCAGGAGGCTTTAGTGTGCTTGAAAAAGCACATAGGCATCCTAGGATGCCTATAAAAGAGTCAAACACCCTTGTTAAAGGCTAAGTTAGTGTTTTCTCTCATTTCGAAAATTGATAGATTTGCATTTCAATGAAAATATTTATTTGCTTCAGAGTTTTTTTTTTTTTGCTTTTGATTCCTTTGGTTATTTTTAGAAATTGACATTTCTAAAAGTTTGGATAAAATAAAATTTTGAAAAGAGAGAAAAATCACAAAGGCTGCAAAGCTGCAGGATGTCACACCACAGTCGTAAGTCACCTACTGTGCTTCCTGCCTGAGTAAGAAGTAATCTGAATGTTTTACCCCAACTACAATAGAGAACACGCCTCAGTGGGCATTATGATAACAATTGGATAGCAGTTGGAAGTTTTTTAGCTTAAATGCAACTATAAGGATTTCAAGGTTATAGTATATTACCCAGCAAGCACATGGAATTAGCAAAAAATTAGTGTTAATGTCAGTTTAGTTTTATGGAAGTATATTTATTCTTGATTTTTCTAAATAAATACTGCAGACACCAGTTATGAGAGCTGCAAATGTACAAAAGCAGAATGTATCTGAACAGCTCATTTCCTGTGTATTATCCTACTGTATATATGCATGTGACCAGGCACAACTTTACTACCTGGTCTGAGGGGTAAACATCAGCTGACCGCGTTACTTTTCTTGTGTAGACATGCAAGAGTGGCTATTTGGACTAAAATGTCCTTTAATACTTAGATTTTATATTATGTATCTTTAAGAATTATCTTACTCTAAATTCCTAAAATGTATGCTGTTTCTTGAAATCTGTCATTTTTGGTGATTGTTTCTTTTGTGGGGACATTTCCTAAGCTCTCACATAGAAGAAAAATGGTACAAAGAAGGCATGTTTCCACATATTCCAAACAATTTCCATTTGGTCAGTGCTGTTTAGACAAGTAACAATCGTAAACATTAGCTAGTACTGGCTGTTTCTGTTAAGCTAAGTAATTGAAAGGAGAAATGTTCTCAGGTAAGTGATTGCCAGATAAATCTTATAACTTTTGTTTTTTTCATAGCTAAACAAAGTATTACTTCATCATCCTAACGTATAAAATAAATTCTACATTTCTAGAATTCAGATTAAGGTAATTGGTTGTGGAGAAACATGCTGTTTGAGAAAAGTTGGTTTGTTTTCAGCACACAGAAAGCAGGAATGTTTCAGTGAGCACTGTTTATTGTTTGTCTTTCTTACCCAATTCCAAATGTAGGCAAGAGTCAGCCACAGATTTAGGTTCAGGTTCCAAACCCTGTTGGCCTGGAAGCATTCTGGTCAAGGATTTGGAACAGCATCATTCTTCTTCTTAACTTTTTGATTCTGTTTATGTTGATGCACCTGCTGATGAAGAATGGAAAGCAGAAATACAAATTAAGCTCTCGTCTACACAGTTCGCTTGCAGGAGTAGCTTTATTTATTAAAAATGAAGCTGTGAACAAAGCCTAGAACAATTCATCATCTGACATGTAGTTGGAACTGCATTTGGTAGGCATTATACCACTTATGTACTTGACAATGTATTTCATGCTACTCTAAATCAGAGTGACTCAGCGTGAATAAGAAAAGATCGAAAGGACTTCCCCCCCCCCCAAAAAAAAAAAAATCTGTGACTCAGCAATGGCTTTGAACAACAGAAAAATCTACAAATACAGGAAAAAATATAATTGTCTCTTTAATCCCAGTCTCACCAATAGTCAATTGAAGTGGAGGTCTGCAAGTCAGTTACTGATGTGAGTTATTTGAAGGATGGAGACACGAGCTGTTTTGAGGCACTATGCTCCAAGCCTGTGCTGCAACCATTAAGAGCAATAATGATTCCCCTTTGCCTGCCTTCAAGAATGGAGGCACAATGGAAAAATGATGAATGCTATTAAGAAGCTTTTTTTTTCTTTTCTGGTGCCTACACCTTCCTAGCAAGTGCTATATCAAAGTATGTGTGAAAATATGAACAAAACTAGGAATTTTGCATGTTTTATAAGGTGAGCAGTGACAGGTTCACTGGCAATGCAATTTAGAGACTTGCAGCATTACCTGAGTTCACTAATGCAGAAAGGTAGAGTACAACTTGTAAAGCAGGTATTCCTGAACTTGCTCACAGCTCATGCAATGAGTCAGAATAGTTGGATAATCTTCAGGACAGGCCTCCATCATTATGGCTTTTGGGTTACATACATCCCACAATAAATTGTATTTGACTTAACTGCACTTTGCTGACAAAATTCATTTGCTGACTTCAGCACATAACTAGTCTGCAGTTGTGTGTATGAAGGGTCCGGCAGAGCAGCTCTGTGGCAGTGGCCATTTGGTGGTAGGAGAGCCAGGCAGCATTTGCTGGTGTCTAAGCATCTCCAAGGAAGCGGTTGCTTACAGTTTGTGCTTTTGCCCATCTCTTGTCTGGGATGTGTCCAGAGAAAACTCCAGATGACTGTAGCATCTTCTCAGGGTTGGCTGGGTATTGATGATACAGGAAGGATAGGGAGGCAAAGTCTGCAAACAACAGACTGCTTATCAGTGGATGGGCAGTAACTGCAGCTTGCGGTAGCTGACTGGGTTGACTGTTACTGAAGTTCACAGGCACTTACCCAGTGACACGTACGAGGAAGTAAAAGTTGGGACACAGTTACCTCATGCCATTTTATTGTGGGAGGTAAGAGTACTAGTGCATCAAGAGAATATGAAGGTTTGAAGGTAAATCCTAAAGCTGATAAGACATTATCAGCATGGTCCACACACTCACTTGGGTTGTGTACCCCAGATATCAAGTATGTTAACAGGGAAGTGTGTCTGTGACTAATGATAATCATGTAAGAGAAAACCTGAATTCCTAAGCTTGGGGTTTGCAGACCATCAGGCACTCAAATAAGCTACTTCTGAAACTGTCAACCGTGATCCCTCATTCTTGGTCCCAAACTAGAAAGTACTCTGGTAGCACTTTGTCCATTGTTTTTCTGTTCTGCTTTTTCTTCTTCTTCCGGTATTTTGATTCCAACTAGAGTTCAAAGTCTGTATATATATATATATATGTATGTATGTATGTATAAAATACACCTGCCTTTGATATGCGACTATCTCTTTTAACCTTCTACCTATGAGGCAAACGATTTGTGAATTACAGGAAAGTTTGCCTGCTAAGATCTGGACAACCCTCTTGAGTTTCCCCCACATAAAACAATTTTTGGACATCATCAACAAGACATGTGGGAAGAATGAATGACCACAGTGATCAAATAAAAGGGAGATGCTTGTCAACCATAGCGTTCCTCTTCTTTCTGTTGTCCCATTCAAACTCATCTGGAAGAGAGAGTCAGATTTGATTTTCTGTGGAACAGCATAAAAATGCAAAGCTTTTGTGTTCCCATCAAACCACTGCATCTCTTCCTCCTGGGGCAGCAGAAACATTGAATGCATGGGTAAAACACAGACAATTTTTTATTGTCATACTCATGAGAAAATGTTTCATGTCATGCCACCGTTCTGTCATTTGGACCTTTCCTTTCTCCATCGTTCTTTTACTGTTTCTCTCATGCTTGTCTCCATTTTTTTGTTTGATTGATTTTCTTTCTCTACTACATCTCTGAAATTCTAGCTCTGCATTGCACAGCTTTTTTCACTCTGTTCATTAACCTGATGGTAATGGACCAATTAATGTTAGCATTTTAGGGTCATCACAATCACAATGGGCTTTACAATGCCTATGTCAATGGGATTAGTAGGGAATAAGAAGTTGCATTAATTTCTTGGAGAATACGTCAACAAACAGAGATTCCCATATGAACCTCCATGACTCATGACCCATTATTGATCAAAAGCTTCATGTCAATGAACTGTTTGCTAAGTCTAATTTATATTTATCTGACTCGAAAAGCTTCAAGCTAATTAAAATCTGTAACATGATTGTGTTAAAAACAATATTTCAAAGAGGTTAGTGTCTGGTATTATTTGATTTTTCAGTTTTCAATAATTTGTTGTGTTTTAAAATCATAGAATAGCTCAGGTTGGAGGAGACCTTAGAAGATCATCTAATCTAGCCTTCCGCAGGGTCAGCCATGAGATCAGATCGGGCTTTATCCAGTCTGGTCATGAAAGCTTTCAAGGATGGAGACTGTTCGACTGTCCTCATGGTGAAAATCTTTTCCTTATACCCAGGAACCTCTGGTTTCAAGTTATGTCCATTGGCTCTTATCCTTCCACCATGCAGTGCTGCGAAGAGCCTGGCTCTGCTTCCTTGGCAACCTCCTTACAGGTATTGGAAGGCTGCTTTTAGATCCCCTCAAAGCCTTCTCTTCTCCAGGCCAAGTGCCATTCCCTTGGCCACCCCCAACCATCCTGCTGGTCCAGGAGCGCTGACCTCAGTCCAGTTGATCGACACCTTCCTTGTACTTGGGGCCCCAACACTGGATGCAGTCTTCTAGATGTGGTCTAATGAGTGCTGAGTGAAGGGGGGTGATCACTTCTCTCGATCAGTAGGTGCTCTGCTCCTGTTTGTACAGCCCAGGGTGCTGCTGGCCTTCTTTGCTGCCAGGGGATGCTGCTGGCTCATGTCCACTGCTGTCTACCAAGATCCCGGGTCCTTTTCAGCAGAGTTGCTCTCCAGGCAGTCAGTCCCCAGTGTGTATTGTTGCAAGGGGTTGTTCCTTTCCAGGTGCGGGAGTTTGCATTTGTACAGGTAAATGTGGAAGAATGTTGAGGAGATAGGCAATGGAAGCCAGCCAGACCGTTCCATGGGAAAAGGAGTTTCTTCAGGGCATGCTGACCCATAGTCAGGCAGCTGAGCCCATGCCAGTGTGGCGCTACACCTAGGCTTTGAATTGAGATTTGCGATGAGCTCACTATGCTTATTGTGCATGTATGTAGTCCATAAAAACTCATGTAGTGCCCCCCCGGGGTTCCTTGCCTTGGACCGACACTCGGCGGTGCCAAGGACTCTCCTGCTCCATTAATGCCTTGATCAGGAAATTGTTGGGGAACCTCTGCTTAGGTGTAGAGGTAATAAACACTCAGTATTGGCCATAGTGTTCTTGAGTTTGTGTATCTGTCCCTGCTGAGAGCCCAGGCATTGCCCCCACCTTAACAGCGTTTGTCCTTGTTGAATTTCATAAAGTTGTGTAACATTTCATTAAAATTCTCCACATTGTTCCAAAATAATTTATTTAAGGATTTATAATAGTAATTTTAAAAGGAATTTTAATGTATTTTTTACTAGTAATGTTAGTTAAAGATACATCAAATTAGTCTAGAAATGTTATCAACTTCCTCTCTCCCCAGAGGATATTGGGTCATCTTTACATGAAATGATCTGTAGCATTCCCAACAGCCATAGTTGTCCACATTACAAAATGTTCATGTTCATGAGGAACAAATAACAAGCAGAAATCAAAATCCAAAGAATCTTTTTAGTTAGGGCTTCAAATCTTTTTCAATTAGCATAAAATCCCCCCAAAAACACCTATTGGACTTCCCTTAGGGTCAAGCACATGCAGTGGTGCTCCTTTTCCTCTTTCTGTATCTAAGCATTACTCCTTCATTAAGCAAACATACCTCTTCAAATAAGATCCAGCCAAAACCACCATTTGCAGATCCACCTTGAGATTCCTCATTTGCCTTGCAGGTACCTTTTTTAAATGGGATTTTCAATGAAGAACATCAATTTAAACAAGAGGATGAATAACATCAACCTTAATGCAATAATACCTAATGTAAGTTACTTCCCTGATACGGAGTAAATGAGCCAGTAATATCCCATTGTGATGTGCAAAACTGGGTTTGGGAGAACAGTATGTAAGGTATCACCATTTATGCTACATAGCATCCAATTTTCAACCTAACTTGCTTGTTTTGTCACTTATCCATGGCATAAATTGCATATGGGCTAAAAAAAAAAAAAAACCTATATGGTCAGCATGCAGGTACCTAGGGCAGCCATACATGGCCACACCGTAAGAAGATTTTCTTTATCTCACTAAAAGTTATTTTCATATCTGTAAAATTTCAATTCTTTTTTTCTCAATTCATCTCAGAGTAAAATACAAGAGTAAGACAAAGATAAATAAACTAATCTAAGGACAACTGGAATTACTCTCTAGTCAATTGAGGGCAATACTGTAGTGCCTACTTGTCCTTCCACAAAAAACCATGCAAAAAAGCCCAATGAGACTACCACTATAGAAAGTCAGTAAATTGTATTGTAGGCCAAAGCTAACATTTTACAATTTCATCTACAGTGAAAAGTACCTTAATACTATTAGTTCTAATGTTGTTAGGTTGCCAAAGGCATTACTAGTTTTGGCCTACAGTGCAGTTGACTAATTTGAAATTTTACTTCAAACTAAAATTTAAGTTGGTTAAACTTACCAGAAAACAACTAGCTTTCATAGAAAATAAACATTTTAGGAGCATTACTGTCTTTATTGTGGAATTTTTTTTTTCCATTATGATTTCTTATCTTCCAATTCTTCTAGTTACTCATGTTACAGATTTTCTTTTTTTTTTTTTTTAGGCTTTGATTTAGAGATCAAAACCTGTAAATGGGCCACAGTAAAAGCACCTTGTGACCTCTAAAACAATCTGTTTTGTTCAGAAAAGTATGAAAACCTCAGCAAAGCAGTGACATTTGTGAAAGTCATTGCTGATAAAACTATTACCAATGAGGCATGACAAGGATATTTATAAGACTAAATATTCATGTTCATATTGCAATATTAAGGTACTAATATCTTACTGTGTCATAATATATCAAAGATCATGAAATAACCTTACTTTGGACTGATGTGAGGTGAGTTTCGATTGATGTGAATTTCTACTACTGAAATAGAACTGTTTAGCAGATAGGTGACTGTGTATGATTATCATACCAGAATTTTTAGGTAACCAAGTTATGTCTGGCTTGCGCAAATAGTGCCTGCAATGCTTGAGCCTTTTACTCTTGTTTGATTTATTTTAAGGAAGTACAGAGTACAAATGAAAAATAAAAATGGTATGTGCATACATTATAGAAGAGAGAGAGATTTAAACTATTTAAGAGGTGTGCTTTATAAATTTTCACACAATTGTGTGTCTAAAGCAATCTTTTTCCTAGAATATTTCTTGAGGTCATTTCTGTTTATATTAAAGAAATCCCTGAAATACTTATATTTTATAGTATTTCCCAGAACAGTGACCTGCGTTTTCAGTACAGGTGGTTTTCTTGTTTAAAAATCACTCCATTTCTTGTTTTTACTCTATACAGATGACTCTGAAGATTTCAAATTAAGAAAAGTGCCAAAGCCCTTAGAAGAAGCCAAAAGATTAAAATTAGGGGACTGTAAAAATTATTTATTCTCATCAGGGACTGTGTGCCATAGTAACCTCACTGGATGACAAAAATATAGAGTCAGGTCTAATGATGCAATTATTTTCAAGAACCACTGTAAATTTTATTTTTGCAGAACAAGAAATGTTAGAACTACAAGACTTCAGTTATATTGTAAGCTAAATAGATTACTTTGCCTAAAATTAAGCATGTGAATGATCACATCTTTGCAGTATCAAACTTCAAAAAGTTTATAGGACTGCAATCAAATTTTTGTCTTAATAGAGAAATGTTAACTAGAATCTATCAGCAGTAATATCTTACGTGATTGTTTTTATGAGTACAGCCTCAGACCTTTTGAACCATTTTTTCCTTTAGTCCAGGGAAGTCTTTTTCTTTTTCTTTTTTTTTCTTTTTCTTTCTTCCTTTCTTTCTTCCTTCCTTCTCTTCCTTCTGTTCTTCCTTTCTTTCCCTTCCTTCCTTTCCTTCCATTTCTTCCTTCTTTCCTTTCTTTCCTTTTCTTCTCTTTCTTTTTTCTTTCCCTCTTTCTTTCTTTTTCTCTTTGTTTCTTTCTTTCTTATAGGCTCAGAATTACCATTAGGCTACTATCAGTAAATGTAATATTTTAGTTTTGGGGTTATTCTTTTTCTGGACCAGAAGTCTTATCAAAGCAAATTTTATACTGTTACTGATTACTGAATACTCATTATGATTTTTTCTAACTAACCAAAAGGATTCTGCTAAGATTTCATTACTTATAATAACGGAAGTTACTGTTGTTACTTGTAGTAACTGGAAGCTTCAAGCAAAATTGGGGTCTCTCAGTTAATGCTGGACAACATGAAGTGAGAAACAATCCCTATCCAAAAGGGCTTTCGGTCTAAGCCCTGGAATCTCGAGGCATTCTTGCATGTTATGTAATTAGATTCATTGCCTCTGAATTTTTCCCAGTCGCTCTGCCCTAAATCTTCAGAGGCATAAGATACAAAAGTTAAAATTAAGTCTCTACTGAGTGTATGCACGATGGGAAAGCACCAAAGTGTGAGAACATTTCTCAAATTAGTTGGCTTTTGTTGAGGATAGCAGAAAGTATGTCTCCTACATAAAGCCAACTATTTTGGCTACATTAAATTTGCTGCATCAACCATGAGGGCAATCGAGTTTCTGAAAAAAAAAAGTTAATGGAATGTTTTAATATTGCAAAACAACAGTCTTAGTCTTGGAAATGATTAAATGATTTTGGTTACAACTACTGAAGAAAATAGCCTGAGGCATCTATCTGACTTGGGAAATTCTGGTCCGGATATATGAAATTTGACAGGTTTAATAGCTACAGAAAAAGCAGTCTGGAAAAGACAAGTCTTTGGCAAACTTAATAGGTAGCACTACCTGTGCTTTCATATTACCTATGTTTCAATATTCATGATTTATTATTAGACATTAAGAAACAGTTATAACAGTGCAAACTCTGCTAAGTATCTTCAGTAGGCATCTCATATGTTCAGTGAATACTTAAAAGATCAGCATCTAGCAGATTACTTCTCAGCTCCCTTGTGCAACCAATTAAGAATGATCTATGGATTTCAAAATAAATAAATCCTTGCACTTTCATGCCATCCTTCCTTATAGGATGACTCTTCATGATCCTATCAAAAATAGCAACCACAGTCTTAATTAGCCACGCTTTATTTATATCCAACTTGTGAGTTTATTGTGAGTAGGCTGGTGACAGCATCTGTGAGGCTTGGAAGGGCCCAGCCAAAACGTGAGCGGGGAACTCTCCTTCCCACTCCATTCCTGCATATTTGACAGATTTGAGTCAGAAAAAGCAGTTAACAGCGGGCACGAAGGATGAGAGCGCTGGTTTTAGCGAGATCCAAAGCAGAAAGCACCTGGACAGGACAGAGTGAGGTGCAGGGGCTGCTCGAGAAGCTTAAGCGAGAGAGGGAGCCCC